TTCTTCCTAGCGCCAAGTGATTAGTGATTGGTCTCTGACCTGAAGCATGTGTGTTTACATCCCTTATCTTTTTTGTTAATCCTATCTAACGTAACTGTGAATGTTCCTGTTATTCATGTAAGTGGCTGGAAATTTATCACAGATCCACATAGTGGAACAGACTCAGATCTAAGAGTTCTGATTCCAGAATTTGGCCCAGTGTCTTTGTGGGCTGGATTTTGCATTCAGAAATTGTGCACATGAAATTTGGTACAGCTGCACTTGATTTCTTTAGGGGGGAAAAAAGCATCTGTTGGGTTAAAATCTCCCACCCTAGGGAAGAACCACCCCCCTTCTATTCAACCACAGATGCCCTATTGCACCTCTGGGAGAAAAATATAGCACAGATACTTTTATGGGCAGAGGCTGCAACCAGTCTCTCTAATTCTTAGCCTGATTTATTTTGCATGAAGAAATTATGCATGTTTGAATGTTCATTTGAAATCTATCTCTCTCTCTCTCTGTGAGTGTGTGTGAGAGAGATGTCACATGCATTCTTTCTCTCTATCAAGTTACAAGGAGATTGTATATAAATATTTGTAATATGTGTATAGCTATGTACATACAATAGATACACACACTGAATATATAGGTAGCTACAGATAGTACCAGCAGAGGACACATTCCAAACTGGGAAATCAAACCATACCTTTATCCTCACAAAGGAGAGTGAGAATAGGTTTGTTCTGCAACTACATTCTCTGTGTAAGCAGACAGAGGCAGACAGGATGATTGACTGATCAATTGATTTTGATCATAATAATGGTAGAGATTTTGCTATAATGGCCAAAATCACAGGATGAGAGAGCATTATTGCACTGTTTAAGTAAATGCTCACAATCCAAAGGTGATACTTTATCAATTTTGTCTGAAAAAGTCCACCATTTTATACCTTTAACTGACAAAAAAACAGAAAGTCAATACTGTTGCTGCCATTTTGTTTTACCTTGAATGAAAGTGTTGTCAGGTGACATTAGTGAAGGAATGGAATACACATACGTGGAAAGGTGCACTATTGTATAGCTACATTGTGTGCCGTTCAAAATAAAAAAAAAATATTATTTGACTCACTGTCAACCAGCAAAAGTCTTTAAAAGCAAAAGACCTTTTTCAAGGATTTTTTTTTTTTTTGCTTTCATATTTATTTTTGCTGCCTGTATGGCCCTAAGCATTTGCAGACAGCAGAAAAACATTTCTGAAAAGGGCTCACCAAACTTTGGATGCTTTATAAAAATATCCTGTGACAAGAAATAAAAGCTCTGACTCCCAAACCTCTTTTAACTTTCTCATTTTAAGGGCCTCCACCCTCTTTAACCTTTTGCAGAACACCATTCCCTTCCTCCACTATTGTCACATGTACATGCACACTTCTTGAATTTGCTTATTCCCTGAGGAAACCCAGCTTTGCCCTCTGTATAGCCTCATCTTCCTATGGTCTCTGTTCCATCTTCTTTTTGATGTCCACCCCTTTCTATTTCTGCTCAAGTGGCTCCAACTCCCCTCTCTATCCCTTCAGGCTTCTTTCTTTTTCATTAGTAGGCCTTCTTTAACTACTACATACTACAGATGATAGGCCAAACTTTCAGCTTCCCTATGGGGTTCACTGCATTTCTTCCTGATGTCAGTTCTAATGCAGGCTACATCTATGAATTTATTCAGGTAACCCCCTAGAAAAATATTTCCTGGGGAACTCAGTATACCCTGTTATGAAAATTTGCATGAGCTCTGCTAATTGGCTGAGCAGCATAAAAAGTGACACTGCTAAAAATATAAAGGAGTTGCTTTTCAGGGACAGGTGTCTTGCAAAAAAGTTCAATTCAGTTTAACCCACAAAGTTCAAGTGGCTTCAGACTCTACTTGGAAGCTTTCTCCCATTCCTGCAAAACATGACACAATGGTTAACATTTAAAGAGCAACATCCTTATCTTCTGATTAGATGGTCTCTCTGTTTGGACTTCACAAAACTAATCAGGAATTAAATGTTCCTATTGCTCAGTACCTAGAACCTTATTGTCCTTTTTCACATCTGTCAGTGAGATACATTCCTATGCAGGTGTATGTATGTTGGTGTAAAGTCAAACCCAGCTAGCCGGAATCACCCGGGAAATTCATGATCTTCAGTTTTTCAAAAGTAAGATTTAATCAACTGTATTCAGGCCAGGCCACAACACTGGGTATCATTTAAACCTTTCAGATACTCAGACATAAAGAAAAGAAAAGCCATGCACAGTTTAACGAGATCTAATAATAGTGAGGGTTGGGGGCTATGAATCAGGATTTGTAAAATATGTAAGCATTTTTACAAACACTTGAACTCCAGAAATTACAACATCTATCTAACAAAAAGCCAGAATAGGAAGTGGGAGAAGCTATTTCTTAATCAGGTGCTGCCTGTAACTAAGCAGAGTAATCTAATTTGCAAGTAGGTGACCTATATCTCTGGACATACCTGATTATTTATTCAACTAATCAAATTATATTGTGTCATTTGATGATAGGATGTTCACACTGCTGGCACAATGTTATTTTTTGTTACCAGATAAGGCAAATTGATTCCAATCTATATTCCTTTTGTTCGTCATCAACACTTACACCTAGACCTGCCAAGGGAAGCATGAATGCACTTTGTTAAGTTCAATAGCATACATAGCATTAGGTCATAGTAAAGATATGCATTGTTGAATAAAAACAGCAGCACTTGATCAGCTTTGTCTACACACCAGCAGCTCAAGTGCCAAAGTACATTGCAGTACCTCTCTCACACAAGCAGGTCTGAGGGACTTGCACAGTTCTACCTCCTCTACATGCTCCGCATCTGTATTAAGGGAAAGGGAAGCACAATATAAATTAGGGGGGCTGCATCTTCTTAGAAGCCTCACTTTTGCCTATATCTCAAGACCAACAGGCATTACAATGTTGGGGATAGCTATCCCCTGTGCCTACTTGCAATACATCTTTTATAATGAATGTAAAGTGATATGTCACCACCAAGACCAGGTGCAAGTAACTTTTTTTTTTTTTGATTGACTGGTTTAATCCTCCAACAATATCTACTGAAAAAGTCAATGAACAATGATTCGGAGGGATCCGCTCAGGGGGCCGGAGAGCGGTGTGTGTCCTGGAGGAGGGCCAGTACCGGAGGCCTCAAAGGACAAGGACATCGATATTTACAAGATTCTTTTGTCAGCTCAGTACCTTATTTAAGGAGGGGTGGGTGGGTGACGATTTAGTGGGAAGTAGGTGCTGGGGGGGGGGGGTTGAAAATAAATAATTATGAGATGCTCCTCGTGCGGACTAAGCCCCCACTCATTTGAGGGATGTGAGCTTAATAACAACCATTGTTGCCGCTGTTGTTGTTCCCCTCCTGGATGTTGGGGCGCTGACCTCTCCTACTTCAGAGGGGCGGCGCTGGGCTGTTGCGGGGTGGGGGCTGTTGTCTGGACAGTCAGACGTCTGCTGTAGGCTCCCATTGTCTAAGCTGCAGCAGGTCTAATCGCTGCCATCTCTGTGACCCTTAATGAGCTGCAGCCTCGGGTGGGAGCTTCCCTGCTTTTAGCGCCGCTGCCCCTGGCGGCTCCGGCGCGGAGCCCAAAGCCGGGGGCAGTTCCAAGCGCTCCCCGGAAGGGTGGAGGGGAGAAGGCAGCCGTTCCCCTTCCATCCTGGGGTCAGAGTCCCTGCCCAGCCCAGCCCAGCCCGCCTCGGAGCGGGAGGGAGAAAACCCTGCTAGCCTTTCTGCCTCGGCTGCCTTGTCTCCAAAGCGCCCCGTTCCGCACAGGCATCCCGCGGCGTCTCCGGGCTGAGCCAGAGAAACAGCCCGCCGGGAGAAGTTCGCTCCTGGGATGGAGACAGAGGGCGAGGCGGCATCTGCCAAAGTTGGGCGAAGTTAGCGACGAGGGGGCAACATACAAGGGGGGGCAGCAAGGAAACAAGCAGCGCAGAGGACCGGGGGGGGGGGTGTGTGCAAGGGCAGGCAGCAGGGAAACATATAGCACCAGGGAGAAACATGCGGGGTGGGGGAATAACACAGTGTGGGTGCAAAGGGAAAGCATGCGATGGGGTTCCGTACCCAGGGAGAGCCCCCTCTAAGGGCGGCAAGTACCGAGGAGAAAACAGACGGGTGCGATACCTATTAGGGAAGGCATCGCGGCAACGACCTCCGAGAGGGGCACACACAAGGGGAGAGACAGGAGGGGAAACGTACGCAAGGAGGAGGCAGGGAAATACTTGGTAACCACCGGACAAGTGCTTTTTGCTTTGCTGTTTCACACGTATCTGGTACGGATTCAACGAGTGACTATTTCAAAGAGCAAGTGCGGGTATTTCAGGCGCCAGAAGGAGGGTTTTAATTCGTCCCACTCCATAGACCACTGCGATCTGTTTTTTTTTTTCCTTTCCCCTTCTCCGTTAAAAGAATGAATGAATGTGTGGCCAGGCAAATCTGATGTGACTTCTCTCTCTCTCTCTCTCTCTCTCTCTCTCTCTCTCTCTCTCTGCGTGTGTCATAATAATTGAATGAGTTCATATTTTCATGTCGAAAATAAGAGCAGATATAAAATTGCAGCCTGCAGTTGGCTCAGATTTGCGCTTTTTTTAAAGTTACATTCTGCATTTTTGATCTCGCAGACGGTTTGAGCCAGGGCATTGCCACTTTTCTTTGCCTCTGAAACATGGTCGTCCCTTTCGTGAAAAAAATCACAGATTTTAAAGAGCTTGCCCGTGGTATCCGCCGTCTCTCTCTCTAATCAGAAGGTAATTCTCCATTAAGAAATGGGGCGGCTGGCCGAAATAAATAAAACTTAGTTATTTTGATCATTCTCTCTCTCTCTCTCTCTCTCTCTCTCTGTCACACACACACACACACACACACACACCCTTCTAGCCTGAAAAGCGCAAACTTGCCTTGAAATGGCACTTCAGCTTTAATGCGAGTCTAACTAGCCCATTAAATATGATCAACATACCGTTTGCATGGAATGAAACCTTTCCCAGTCCTGATTACTCCAAAGGGGAATCACGTCCTACCTCCCACCTTCCCAATCTTCATTCTCCCAGTGTACACACTCTTGTAATTACTGGTGATTGTGCTAATGCAACCCTGAGCAAAAGCATGCTGGTAGTCTGAACAGAGGAGCCGGGAAATACCGTTAATGTAAGGGAAATACACGTGGATTATGCTCTCTCTTTGACATGTTTGTACCTCTACCGACCCTGTAGATTCTGTGCATTGAACATAACGCTTCATATTTGTCATTTAAAGGGCTCATTTCCGACTCTCATGTTGCTTCCTTAATTTTTTGTAAACGGATCACCAGGTGATCTGTGAAGAAATGATGTTTCTCTGAGAAACGGCGAAAGGAAAGAAAGTGGGGAAGGCGACTTGTTAGCATTGATTCTAAACAAGCAATACACTTTGGTATAATTTCTGCCGTGATTGTTTCTTACATAACTCCCTGCATCTAACGCAGACCAGTTCACTCAGCAGAGAGTATAATATAACATCGGGCCTTCTGAGTTCTTAATTTCCCTCCTGCAATAGAACAGGGCTTGAGGCGTGATCTGTAACTTCCTTGATCATCATTTGGTTTTCTTGTTAAGAGGTTGAACGGTTCTTTTCTTAACCAAATATTTTTTTTTATTTGTTCAGATGACATCCACCTCTTCACCCTCCCCCCCTTTTCTTTTCATCATCAGCAAATAAAGATTAGGTGGACAGATTATAGAAAGCATTTTCAGTCTTGTGCTGATCTTTATTCCAGAGCCTTTGTGATGATATTGATGATGATGATGGTCAAGTGGACAGTTTGATTTTTGTGTTTGGAGCTAGTTATAAAGAATCAATATTATATCAAGGGGTAACTTTCGTGATAAAGGACTTTAACCACTCTGGCTATTCATCATAAGTCTGTAGCAAGCAGATAGGTCAAAAGAAATTATATTGCACTAAAGAGTGTGTCTTCTTATCTCTCCCATACCAGGGGAATAAGGGACAAGCCGATCGATACAGTAGCTGCTGTATACTTCTTGCAATTATCAATAGCTGATTTCGTCTTTTGGGGCCTGCATCTATTAATACAAGCTAATAATAATCTTCTGCGCATAGCTATAGCCAAGGGGATAAAAGTTTTATACCTGACAGTACTATTTATAGTTACTAATGTATACGTTATACTATTTATATATGGTATTCATCTGACTAGTCATTTTAAATGACATATAGCTTTGTACACAGATGAGTAAATATAAATGAGGTTTATGTGTGCATTTGCATATGTAGATGGTGTGTATATTACTGTATATATGCCTATAGCTAAATGCATACAGATCGAACGTATACTATATATACATGTACACACGGTATAAACGTGAGTGTTTGCATAGTATATATGCCTACACACGGAATTTATGTTGCTGTGATAATGTAGAGATATGTATGTACTTTATATGTGTCCGTGCTACTTTAAAATGGTTTGTTAAATTAATATCTCAAATTAATAACCTAATATTAGGTTAAAGAACAAAAACTTAGAGTCGTTGGGGTTTGCTCAGTGTGAGCATGAGGCGGAGTGTATATGAATCTATGTTTATTTAGAGCTGAGAGTGGCATGATATTAAATAAAAGGAAAACTAACTTAAATGTTTAAGGCAAAACGTTTAGGAACGATTGTGCAGTAGGCTGGTTCTATAAATCTGGCTGCGGAGCTCATTGCTTTCTACAAAAAAATTGTAATAGAAAAGAAACATCTTTATAATTGACATTTGACATGCTGTTTGGGTTAGGCTGTGGTAGACCAGGCACAGATTTCGCTCTGATGGAAACATTTATCATCGTGATTGCTACAGAGTGGCAGGTGGTGTTATCAATTACCTCTTCTTACCAATAATAATATTAGTATGGTAATATCTTTGCTCAAGTGAGAACGAATTAGCGGTCAGTTGCTGCAGCCTTAAACACACAAAAGAGTGCTAGATTTAACCCCAATGTCCTAAAACAAAAGTTGGGGTGAAAGAGGGGAGAAGAGACTTCAGACTGAAAGAAAGAATAAAAAATAATATAAAGTCCAAATTATTGAAGACCCTTCTGAATAAAGTTGCTGAAGCAAATTTTAAAAATAACCAGCAATAGACTGATTGCACAAACTGTCAGATCCATCTTATCTATATGTGATAGGTTTATGACCACAAATCCTAAATATTTATATACATGCAGACGGAACTATGTATACTCTCCTTGTGAAATCAATTTTGCGGATAAGCTTCGTTTTTTCCTGAATAAATGGTACAAATTAAAGCAAACACCTAATTATGCGTCCCATTAATGTAAAAAATACAATACTAATTGGTAAATAATATTATTAAGCAGACAAAATAATAACGTGTTGCTTCTTATTATGAAAACAGCATTGCAAAGAGAAAGACAATTAACAAATTAGATTTAATTATAGAGGAAAAAAGCAACTTTTGTTTTTTTCATCAGTATTAAAATATTTTATTAGACCCGCCAGTCATGTGGTTAAGAATATGCGTGTGTACCGTGTGTATTCGCACATATATAATTGTATGTACATGTAATTTGTACCCACATTTACATATTTCTGTGCTCGAGTCTACTGTATTTATCTGTTCACACACACGTGCATAAGAGAAAGGGAGATTCTGTTAATCAGTTTCCCCCCGAGGTGACCATATTTTTGCAGCCCAACTTCAGTAAATATGTTTTCATAGTTCAGCCTGAAAGATTAAATAGGAGAATCGTGAAAAAGTTTCCATCTAATAAGGGAAGTGTGGGGGAGGGGGCCGAGGGATTAGAAGCCACTTTATGATAACTTTAGACTCCCATTCCGAACTCTTTACATGTTTGGGTTGACGTGGTTTACCTAAATCAGTTACAAAAATTTCGCCTATATCATTTGCTCATTTACAAAAAGTAGCGATCAAAGCTCTCTGCTTTCTGATCGGAGGGGCATTATGCAGGTGTGGGTTTACAGTGATCATTTCATCAGAGTCTCTTCTCTCTGCTGAGCCACTCCACTCCACTCCTAAAAAAACCCAAACACCCTATAAAATGTGTCACCTGTAACCCTAGAATATGTAAATGTCAAGAGATACAAACCTGGTAATTATGCCTTTCTTGCCTTTGTGAGCTCCATTGCTCATTAAATATTAAAGACTGGATTATTTAATTTTCCACTTAAAGTTTCTCTCAAGTCTGGCAAAAGCGTGTTACGCTTTTTAAGCAGAAGACTAAGTAGGTTCTCATAACATTCTCAAAGAATTGTTAGCAATGCAAATCCCATACCAGTCATCATTGTGCTACCCAGGAAACTAAAAGACCTTGAGAAATAGCAAATGCTAAAGTTTAGGAAGAAAATGTTGATCAAGCAACAACAAAATCCCTTCCGAAGATGACGGGATGAAAATTGACACATTTCTGTTACTACTGCAATGGGGCGGGGGGGGGGGAGGGCTGCGAGGAAATGCCTGTGGTAGGTTAAAGTGCAGCATCTCTGATTCCAGGCGAATGTTTCAGAACCAGCCAGTCGCTGAGCTTTTTTCACCTAAAGCAAGTCTGTAGAAGTATACCTCTGTGCCATCTGAAAGAGAAGATGTAAACAGAACATGTCCTTCACCGCTGCACTTTCTGAAGGCTACTTTAACGCTCGCAAGCGATCGCTTTCACCTGCATTGTATATACACGTGTGTGTATATGTGTGAGTGTGTCTAAAACTGTATTTATGTGTGGTGTGTGCAATAGTCCCCTTCCTGCGGGTGGAAATACATTATGTTTAATAAGTGCTTAAGCCCCTTCCCCTTTCATATTGGAAAATTACATCAGATTTCAGTCCTCAATGTCGTTTCCAGACATTTTAGTTTAGAAACACTCCGGGTGAGAAACTTTCCGCCAAAGTGGATCTGTCACAGAAAAGTTAGTTAGAATTTAGAGACTGCGAGAAGTATTTTTATTTGTAAAGGCAGAAGGCGCTAGAAAGAAGTCGACCTTTAAAATCACATGAATGGAGCGTAGAAAACAGACATTTAAAAGTCATTTATTTGCCCTTTCTAGGTTGTGTTATTATTTTTTCTTTTTGAAAAAAATACGAACACCCAAAATACAAAAATCTCTAAAAGCATGTGTGGCCATAAACTATCCAGACTGGCCTAACCTGGAGTATTTAACTTATTTTGTTTGCCTACGTCAAAGTGGCGAAGAAACCAAAAGCAGAACGATAATATCACAATGCAAAAGATAAAAGAAACTAGCAGCAGGGGAAGTTTACACAGAAGTCTTCCAAAGAAGCCAAGGTTAGTGTATTTAAGGACTACAACTGGGGGTTGGGGGGGAGATTAGGAGGAAATCCATTTCACTGGTCTTAGTCTCTGTCTTCTCTGTCCCCAACCCCCTGCCCACAGCTCCCTTCTGTTTCGTGCCAGGTGAGCTGTTGCTCTCGTGGTCCCAATCAAGGGGTCTGGGAGAGCCACTAGAGCGAAACAAAAGAGGGACGGGGGGCAGAGCCGATCTGTAAGCGATATTTAAGAAAGGAAAGAAAAAGGGGGAGAGGGAGGGAGAAGAGCGAAAAGTCCCCAAACAAATAAATGTCGGGGGCTGGAGCGAGTGTCCCCTGATCACTGTGCGATGCTGATGCAGAGGATGCTGGGGCCATCGGTAACTATGTGGTACATCCTAGCGGTGGCTTGCTGTTATAGTGTTATGGGAGGTGCCTGCGCGCGTGTCCCTCTCCCCAGCAGAGATCCCCCCACCAAAAAAAAAAAAAAAAAGCAACTTGTGGCTTAAGTCTAGTAGTTGTGCAGTTCCCCAGCGCCTGAGGCGAGCCAAGGCAGAGGGGACGCCCACGGGCACCCGCCTCGTGGACCATCCCCTCGCCCCAAAACACGCCAGCCAGCGGACAGCCCCAGGGGAAGGGAGTGAGGGGCTCGCTGCTGACCAACTCGCAAGGCGACAGAGGGGCAGGGTGGGGGGAACCCAGCCCTTCCTCGCCCGCCCTCCTTTAAAAAGAGGGTGGGGGGATTGTGAGACAAGCTGCTGTTGGGAAAGAGAAGCATTTGGAAGCGGCTGGGAGCAG